CGGAAACACGACCGTCCAACTTACGGAAACACGACCGTCCAACTTACGGAAACACGACCGTCCAACTTACGGAAACACGACCGTCCAACTTACGGAAACACGACCGTCCAACTTACGGAAACACGACCGTCCAACTTACGGAAACACGGCCGTCCAACTTACGGAAACACGACCGTCCAACTTACGGAAACACGACCGTCCAACTTACGGAAACACGTCCGTCCAACTTACGGAAACGCGACCGTTCAACTTACGGAAACGCGACCATCCAACTTACTGATATGGCCGTCGCACTACTTAACTTTCTTACAATATCTTGTGTACTAACCCTTTGATCAGGTTAACCCAAATCAAGTTTTCTATACGCCCTTCATTATTTTTTAATACTGCGTATTAACATTTAGCTACAGTAAAAACAATCATATTAAAAAAAAAATAGTAAATTCAGTGGTGTGGCATCTCAAATTTCCAAGCGTTAAAAATCCTTTGACTTTCTTGACCTTGAAGTATGGCGGGAGAGGAAGAGCCAAGAATACCAGCCCTCTCTCGTACCACAGTATCGAGGCACCTCTATTGCTGCCCACTGGTATTAGCGAGACTTTTTTTACATGGTTTATTTGCAATGCAAAAACTGCTCTCCTACCTTAGGTCCACTTAAAGCCTAGCCATATGTTAGGTATACAACCACATCCTAGGATGCCATACATGAAAGTCGACTAACACTCTTACGTATTTACTGTTAGGTGAACAGGGACAGCAGGTGTAAGATAACCTGCCTATAAGTCTCACTGTACAGAAGGATCAAACCCAGACCCATTTAGTCTGTGTGAACTGCTGCCACTACGTCCACGACTTGTCAGCGGAACATACCAATGAGATGATCACTGCTATAGAGGCCTGAGCTTGCTACCATCTGCAGCTCATAAGACTGCCATCCCCACAAGCCCCTTTGAGGCGGGGTAGATGGCAGACCAGAGGCCTAGCTTCTCCCTACGAGCCCCGTGAGGGAGGGGAATGTGGCTAGGCCTGGGGACACTTGGTCCCAAAGATGAGGAGGTACTTGTACCTCCTCCCATGGGAGACTTAAGTCTCGAGACACTTCCCAGATAGGGAGCCAAGGCCGGGTCACCACTACTTGGAAAAGACCCGGGCCGGGAGAATACCGGCGAAAAAAAAAAAAGTCACTGCTATGATCATCTGATCACGGAAATTAATCTTCACTCATTTAAACTGCGTTGCATACCATTATTGAGGAAACACGTCCAGTTCTCTTTCGTAGCTCAATGGTAGTGTTCGGCTTACAACAAAGTACCCGGGTTTAATCCTCGTGCGGAGTGATAGACGTGTAGATAAATCTCGAACACGTACGTACGTGTGTGTGTGTGTGTGGAGGGGGGCTCGTTTGTGTATGACCCACTTAACATTTGTACTTATAACTCATTACAATTGTGACCGGGTGTGGACGTGTCAGTGGCTCATTACTTTGAAATTTATTCATGACTGTAACCATGTATAGGAGTGTAGATGGTTCATTACCTTCGTAACTTGCCATGATTGTGACCAGATCTACCTGGAGTTCATTACCTTTGTAACTAGTACAGCTATCATACCTTTGGGGCCCAGTCCCTGGACCCATTATGTACCTCTGTAATCTTTTGACTACCGCCCACAGGATGGGTATGGGGTGCATAATAAAGATATATTAAACTAACTGTTCATCCAGCAATGAAGAGATACCGAAGAGCTAATTTTTCTTAAGGGCCTAAAAACCCTAATAGAAATAAGTCACTATGCTTGACTTTCTTAGGTTATCCTAAGTTAATAACCCTTTTGTGCTTATCTGAATAAAATCTTCAGTCATCCTCTCCCTCAACACAAAAAAACTATTATAAAACCAATTTTAGAAAATTTTATTATCCAATTTTTTATCAATCTCAAATTCAGTCATGAATGTGCATTATATACGAGTTACTACATATAACGAATACATATAAATAATGTATAAGCACACAGCCTCACGTGCCCTGAAGAGCGAAGCCATGAATCGCGTAGCCAATTAAGAGCATAAGCATAATCATGGGGGAGCGCTAAACCCGTAGGATTATACAGCGCATGTGGGTGGGATGGAAGGTATTCAGACTCAATTCAGGGAACCGGAGCACAGATCCAATTCCCTGGATCAAGAGCCCCTCACCAGCGTCAAGGAACCTCCCTTGAGGGGAGCCAATTAAGAGAACCCAGAGTTCGATTATTTAATATCAACACAGCGCAAGACACATCAAATGTCAATTAAACGTGATTCTACGAAACACACAACAATCGTGTTAGATGAAACATTTTCATACGTATCTATATTATTGAGTTTTAAAGATGACTCGCGTGAAAACCAAAGCCTTGTCTTAGATCATACAAAACAATTTAAAAAAAAATTTCGACTTTTTAAGCCGGAGTTAGCCACCCAGAATAACCCAATAAAGTACGTGGCTCATTGAGGACTGTCGTCTTAAAAATAGCCGTAATATAAAATATTAAGTAACCCTTAAAATATGGACTAAAGTAAACTTTCAGCATATACACACCGAAGCCATCCATTAGAACAAATAATGTTCGTATGCGTGTAAAGTTAATTTGATTTGAGTATGTGGACACTTAAGAGAAGTATGTACACATACATAAGTGAAGCACTAACCATGGTGTGGTAGAGGCAGAGTAGCGGCAACAGAAGCTAAGTGCGACCAGCACAGATAACGTCTCACCTACTACTGACCCCACACTGCTGTCAAGGTGGAACTCGCTCCGCAGCCAGCCAGCTAGCTAACGTGCCTGCCAGCCAGCCAGCCACCCAGCCAGCCAGGAAGATACTCACCTAGCCAGCCAGGAAAATAGTTACTCGCCTAGGCAGCCAAGAAGATAGTTACTCACCTAGCCAGCCAGGAAGATGGCTACTCACCCAGCCAGCCAGGAAGATAGTTACTCGCCTAGCCAGCCAGGAAAATAGTTACTCGCCTAGGCAGCCAAGAAGTTACTCACCTAGCCAGCCAGGAAGATAGTAACTCACCTAGCCAGCCAGGAAGATAGTTACCTAACCAGCCAGGAAGATAGTTACTCATCTAGCCAGCCAGCCACCCAGCCAGTCACTTTGCTCTCCTGCCTGCTGTGCTTCCTGTCCACCCAAGTTAACTCCCCACTTGAACACGTGTACTGCCGGAGTGGCGGAGGGGAAGCTCCATTATTTCTACAGTCTTCTTAGCTACAGCATGTATGTAGTACATATCAACCCATTCTCACATTACGAATGATACTCGTGCCTAACCTTACAATAAAGAAAATGTGTGCAGAGTAAAAATTCAAACACGTTGGTTGTCACTGAGTTGTTTTTTGTTAAACTGCAAGTATAACCATTAATACCTTCCCTGCTTAAATGATTTTAGATAATACTTTATCATAGGAATATGTCGAATCCTGGCCGGGGAGAAGAGTCGTCTGGGCAAGTCTCTATTCACTATAGTGGGTCACATCTTAGGAAAGGAACGAAAAAGGACCTTAATGGAAATATGTCAGACTGACTTTCTTGGGTTATCCCTGATTATTAATACATTCATGAGAAAGTTCTAAATTTGTAGGGATTTTAGTCAAACAGCGTTTTAAGAGTAGGAGGAAATCGGGTTTCATCTAAGGAAAGGGCAGTTCCAATTCTGTGGGTCAAGAACCCTTCACCAGCATCAAGGCACCCTCTTGAAGGATCCGGGGTTGCTATTCTCACTCGTCTTCTTTGGATCCATTATAAACGAAAACATGATTCGTGTAACAGAATGGATATTTTCACATGTATTCTTCTGCGAGACTAAAATCGGATTATTTTTATTAATTACTTTTGTTAGATTTACATACTCGGGTACTTCTGCAGATCACCTTGCACTCCTAACTTGAATAACTTCATTAAACATACTGTTATAATGACGCTAAACTTCACATACTAAGTTATAATGATGATAAACTTCAGATACTGAGAAATGTAATGCTAGGAGACTATGCCTAGCGTATGTGGAAGTGAATGATATGGTGATACCGACAAGATCTGAGAAATGACACTTATGTACAATTGAGGACATTTATTAAAAGAAACGTTTCGCAGTGAGTGGTTTCTTCCACAGTGGGAGTGACTTCGTCAGTCCTAATTAGGACTGAGGAAGCCACTCGTGGCGAAAGGTCTTCTTTAATAAATGTCCTTAGCTGTACATAAATAAATGTCTTTTTCTAAAAACGCATAGGAAAAACCGCACTCCGGAAATGTTGAAACTTAAACTTCCCGCTGTGTAACCAAGGTTTTATGAAAGTTTATGCAATCACGCAGCCAGGACAGGAAACTCAATACTGGTCAGCAGAAAGACGGGGTCAGGAGCTAAGACTTGACTCTTGTAACCATATACAGATGAGTTCATATAAGCGAGTATACTGGGAAGCCTTTGTTGCCGGTGGCCTGGTGGCTAAAGCTCCCGCTTCACACACGGAGGGCCCGGGTTCGATTCCCGGCGGGTGGAAACATTCCTACACGTTTCCTTACACCTGTTGTCCTGTTCACCTAGCAGCAAATAGGTACCTGGGTGTTAGTCGACTGGTGTGGGTCGCATCCTGGGGGACAAGATTAAGGACCCCAATGGAAATAAGTTAGACAGTCCTCGATGACGCACTGACTTTCTTGGGTTATCCTGGGTGGCTAACCCTCCGGGGTTAAAAATCCGAACGAAAGCTTAACTTATCTTGGCGTTGAGATACAGTCACGGGTAACAAGCCTTCAAAGGAAGAGGGGATTATAACATTCAAGGGGAGAACGCTAAATCCGTAGGGGTCACACAGCTAGTGGAAGGTGTGGTTTAACGCAACGAAGTGTAGCGTAAGTTCAGTTCCCCAGATCAAGAGCCCTTCCACTGCATCAAGGCACATCCTTCTCCTCTTGAAGGGTATCCAGCGAGAACAAATGAGAAAATAATGTTTCTTACCATAGCTGAGACGATGTTTGTAAGTGCTACAATGATCTGGAAGTCCAGCTGCTAGAAACCTGGTCTCTGGTTGCTTAGATGGTACCCAGCCTGCCCGGGGTGGGAGAAAGGAATATATAGCACACTTTTGCCAGCCTCTGGGGCAAAGCCGGAGTTTTAAAGGTGTGTTTCACAGCTCAGACGTGGATTTTGGCGGAGGCTGGTATAAGACGTGTAGACCCCAGGATGATACAAGACATAGTTCTCAGGGGTGTGGTGGAACCTGGATCAGCCATGACAGCACTGTTGAGGCAGCAAGTGCAGCTGGAGCTGTGTCAAGGGTGTGGAGTGAGGCTACCAAGCTTCCCTGTCACCACTCCTCCCGCGAGGCCACTATCATCCCTCAAATATGAAATTGTGTATTAAAAAGAATCGTTATTTAACACCTATTGCAAGCCGTTAGAAAGTATATAAGGGAAAGTTATTAAACAATCTAGAGAATTTACAATTTAATGCGATGACCAAAATACAACGCACACTATGAGTTTTGCATATATGAACACCCACCATATTTTTCCCATATACATATCTAAGTTATTGCATTTGCTTTTTAATAAGCATTATGATGATAATTATATATAAAAGTCATTTTATTCAAGAAACATGGATGGTGGGAGGCAGGGAAAACGCGGCAACATTGCCGGAAAATGCTGTATTGATCCAGCCTCTGGCGCGGGACTCTTAACTGCTTCTCAAAACTGACTTTATAGTTTACATTAAAAAAAAAAAAGACTGGACAAAGAAACTTATGCACTCTTCCCCAGTTACAGAGTTGTCAGAAAGTGGTACATTCTAGAGAGTGATGTAGTTGAAGCAGGATCTATACATAGCTTTAAGAAGAGATAAAATAAAGCACGTGGAGCAGGGAGTGGACCTAGTAGCGGTCAGCGAAGAGGGGCCAGGAGCTGTGAATCGACCCCTGTAACCACAAATAGGTGAGTACACTTCGATAAATTTACAGGGGAAAGGTTTCGTTACGAGTATCTTCCTCAATAAATATCTTGAACTTTGCCCAAGTATCTGTGTACATACTGTCAGTATTACCAAGCCTATTTTCCAGTCGTTAAAAATCCTGTTTTAATAGTTAATGTGCTTGTTTTCAGAGTGAAATGGAGGAATGATTATTGTTTCGAAAAAGAAATGAAGGAAATACTACCAACATAATATATAGGGTTAGCGATAGCATAACAGATTGATTTGTGTAAATTCTATATTATAGTTATATACACATTATTACATTCATGAGAAAAACGCTAAATGTTATCATAAGGGTCATACAGCGCCTGTAGGAATGGTTGGCAGAGGTGCGATCCTAGAAAGGAAAGATCGGGTCCAGTTCCTTGAACCAAGAGCTCCTCATTAGCATGAATTTCAAAGTTATCCTAGCTGACACCCCCCCCAGGATGCTACACCCATGCACCTATTTACTACTAGGGTTAATAGAGGCAACAGGTATAATTATTATTATAATCAAAACTAAGTGCTAAACCTACTAGGGTCATACAGCGCTGCACAACAGGTATAGAAAGTGTTACCCATACATACCAACCTGCCCCAGGACTGAACCTTGGTCCTTAATATGTGAGCCACCATGATGCTGATGAAGGGCTTTTGCTCCAAAGAAATGGAGCTACTGATCTCTTGAAAGATCAAACCTGATTTCCCATTCTTCAGGTGATTATTACAACGTTCATGGGAAAGCGTTAAACCCGTGGGAGCACAGGTCCTATTCCTAAGATCAAGAGCCCACTCACTGGCATTAAGGAACCTCACTTGAGGGGCCCCAGGTACTGTATGACCCTTATGGGTTTAGCACTTTCCCTGAATATAATACTTAGAATTCAGAATCCAAAATTTGAAATAAATTCCCACTCTTCCATTTTTCGTTTCAACACCTGTCCATCTCCCCACAAGACCCTTGGCTAGTGCTGGCTACCTGTTTTACCTGAATTATTATTATTAGTTATGGGAAGAGTGGTAAACCAGTGAAAGTCATACAGTGTCTTGGGAAATGGAAGGCAATCATATATGATCCGAGGAAGGAGAGGTAGCTCTAATTCTCTCACTCAAGAGCCCTTCACCAGCATCATCATAATTCCACTTAAAAGAGAATGAGACAAGAAAAGACACCTGACAATCTCTCATAGTAAGCCTGTGTACAAATTTACACGATAAGCACTTCTGTCCTGTTTATGACCCTTAGGGGTCATACAGCACTTAGGGAAGATAGGAGACAAATTCAATCCAAGAAACATCAGGTCCAGTTCCTCAGATCAAGAGCCTCTACAGCACCAAGGGCCCTGCATCAAGAACCCCTCACCAGCATCAAGAAACCTTTGTGTCCTGTTTTGGACATGAGTACAGCATATTAAAATTGTCTGGAACCTTTTCAGGGTACTTAAACGAAATTAAAAGCAATCGACTAGTATTATATTATGTTCATTATTACTATATTCATAGGGAAACACTAAACCTGTAGGAATCATACAGCTATATTATGTTCAATGACCGTAGCATTTGTTACAGATAAGTTCCTGCATTCCACTTACTGACAGTCACCTAAAACATAATCCTTGTACATTATTATTGTTATAATCAAGGGGAAAAGTCCTCAACCCATAGGGCCATACAGTGCCTAGGGAAAGCGGACAATCAGGTTTGATCCAAGGAAGACTAGGGTAGTGTCTGTTCTATATAGCATCAGGGTACCTCTTCCCCGGTGGCATTATCATTACAATCATGGGGAGTCACACACCACCTGAAGGAATGGGATGCAGTCAGGTTTGATTCAAGGAATGGGAAGTCAGATTTGGACCTGACTGAGATACCTTCCTTGAGGGGAATGCCTCCAATGATAATAGTATTAACATTTTGAGGACTACATAAATAGATCATGAAGACTCGTTATCAAAGTTTTAACAGTCAAACCTCTACAGTAAAAAGTTATTCTTTGAGGCCCAAGCAGATTCAGTCCAAGTAGAGAGAGGGCAGCTCTAATTCTTTGTATTAGGAGTCCTTTGTGGTCATCAAATTATTGTAATAAAAAAGAAGCACTAAGCCACAAGGGTGGTCATCAAAAAAAGGACCAACATAGCCCATCTTCATTTTAAAGAGTGTCTTCTTACACAATCCCTTGCATAAATTTCTGAATGTTTCCCTTGTGCAAAATTTATTTTCTATAGATTCACAAGGAAATGATTATTATAATCATTGGGAATTACTAAACTGTAGAAGTCAAAGTGCCAGAGGCAAAAAGGAGGTTTGAATCATAGAAATTTTAAATCATTATATCAATAGCACTTCAAAAGAATTGATGCATCTCCCCAGATCAAAAAACTTTCATCGGCATCAAGGAACCTCCCTTGAAGAGAAGGCCTTCTAGAACTGTGATATATTATACAGTGTGCAGCACTAGCATGAAGCCCACACTTCATAAACCATGTTTAGAAGCTATAAAAGGTGCAGAGATTTGCTACTAGATCAGTCCCTTAACAAAGTGGCTAGAGATATAGTATAATCAGGGGAAAGTGCTGAACCTGTAATGTTCATACAGAAAGTGGTTTGAACTATAAGAGACTAATATGATTAAACCTAACCACCTTGGAAAAGAGAATGACAGGGTGAGACACAATAACTACCGTATGTACAAAATACTAAGAAGGATTTCAGACACACTAGAGATACTGGAAGGAGAGGCACAAGGTCAAGAGTGGAAAGATGGAAAGTGAAAACACATAAACCATAGGAACATCAGGAACAGATGCTTTATTCTCTGAGCAGTATGAAAGTGGAATGAGCTAGATAGAGAAGTGGTGGAGGTAAACCCCAGTGTACAGTTCTACAATTAGATATGTCAGGCCAAGAAGCCGTGAACCAGTAATGTTGGCCAACTGAAGATCAAGGAGGGGCCAGTAGCCATGATTCAGTCCCAATAGCGGAGCCAGCTCAAAGGACTGTGGCACCCTGTGCCAATTTTCTTTTGGCACTCAGCTTATCCTGGTTTTAATAAAAAAGCATTTTAGTGAAAAATTTTCATATTATTACAGTATTTGCTTCATTTCATTCTGTACATTTCATTAAAATCTTTTATATGAAAATATTTTATTAATTTTCTGTGGAGAATTTATTTTTAAACTGAAAATGTGTTTCTTGTTGACTGATGTTGATATTTTGTATTTTTCTGCTGCTTTCTCAGTTTCTGGCCCCTAAACTTCTGTAACTAAACTTCTGCCCAGTAAACGTAAGTCAAGGAGTACATAGAACTGAAGAGAATTAACAAGACAGACGACAAGTAACTCCACCTTTCCTTATCTGCATCCCTTGCTTCCTCAATATTATTGTTCAATACATGTTACCACAACTGCCCCCCTTCCCTAATATTTACACTTTTCCCAACCACACTCAAGACATCCTTTATTTCCTTCATACTTACCCCACATCAGCTAACATTCCATGCTATCCCGATTTTTTTTTTTCCAACAAGTCGGCCATCTCCCACTGAAGCAGGGTGACCCAAAAAGAAAGAAAAATCCCCAAAGAAGAAAATACTTTCATCATTCAACACTTTCACCTCACTCATACATAATCACTGTCTTTGCAGAGGCGCTCAGATACAACAGTTTAGAAGTCCCTCCAAACTGTCAATATCCCGAACCCCTCCTTTAAAGTGTAGGCACTGTACTTCCCATTTCCAGGACTCCAGTCTGGCTAACCGGAAGCCATCCCAATTACTTTTATTTTATTCATGGGAAGGTGCTAAATCCATATGTGAGGAAGGGGAGGATAGCTTCCTTTGAAGGAATCCCATCCTAATGCATACTATACATGTACTTCCAAACACCAGATAAATCATACAATACCTGGGGAATGGGAGGTAATGAGCTTTGATAAGGATGGAGATGGTTATATCAAACATAAATGGAAAGAAATCCATACAAATACTGAGGTTCTGTATATCATTTTTTGTACTGAAATAAAATGGAGATTTAAAACTTATAAACATGACTAACGTATAATGTCGCATTTTATGAGTGACAAAGTTACTAGTTATTATACTGAAGAATGAAAGAATGTGAAATGCTAAACAATTAATAACAAAAACGTTGAAAAGTGATAAATGCAGTCAATTCACAACTGTAATGTTCTAGGTAAGAATTTTGGGCAGGGCAAGGTACAGGTGGGCCCCAATTTACAGCACTTCGCTTTACAGCATTTCACTAATGCAGCGGTTTTCAATTATACCCATTTC